ATCCTATGACTTAGGTGTCACATCAATCAGTGACTTAGTCATCTACAAAGCAGGCACCAGAACTGATTCTTTGATCACTGTCATCTGGTTAAATGCACGAACTAATTAAAATGTTGACTGATTGGTTGTTACTGACCTGGGAAGCTGGTGGGTCTAGGATAGAATGAAGGGACCACGGTGGTTTGGATGAAGTTTAGGAGAGATGTATGGTGTCATCATGGAATCTCTGAAGACTCATGGGGTTAAAGTGCAGTAAGCAAGACTTTGTGAAATCTGATAGAGTTTATTTTAAAGTCTACATATTCCTCTTATAAGCTATGTAACTTTGTTTAAGACTTTTCTTCTCTTGATGTAAAAACTATAATAACATCAAACATGGAAAAATAATTATGATGATAAAAGTAATACTTGCTTTATTGCATTGTGATGAGTAGTAACAAAATGTATCAGAAACAAGGTCTGAAATTATTTCTGCCTTGAATAGCCATATTTTTTTCCTGTTTACTCATACTTGGGACCTGGGGTGAATAAGCGGCTCAAGTAAATCTCTAGAACTTATTTAGGCTGTTCAGGCCGACCAACATATGGGCAAAGTACCTGTGGAGTGGTATTTGGCTACTATGTACCAGAGTTAGCCTGTATACACCTTGCCAGAAAGCAGAGAGTGGACGGACAAGTTAGCTACTTTTTGACTTGCTGGGATAAACCCTTGGAAGATTATTTTCTAAGGTGTTTAAAAGTTCATCTAAAATGCAGAATTAACCCTGTATGGTTGTACTGTCAGAATGACAAATGTATACATAAAATAAATGAGAATCTGAGAACCCACAGGAATTGGGTCCCTTAGGCTGAGATATTCTGGAGAGGAACAATGAGAGTTCAGCTACACTTTCAGGGGTGCTTAAATTAAAAGAGATGGGAAGCACAGACTAAAGAAATTCTAAGGGGTCCTGGGTAATTCTAGTCCTAAACATGCAAACATTTAAGACCTATTGCAGGGATAGGCCAAGCTGTTTGGAGCAGAAGGTTCTAGAGATTTCCTATGAGAGAAAAATGGAAAGATTATTTGGAAGTGGTTTTTGAAATCTCAAATGCCCAGTAACCCAGGCATCTTCAAAGGTTTTGTTGTGATGAGAATGATGCATTCAGAAAACTCAGCAAGGATGCACTGAATGGATGGAAGGGCAAACCAGAAATACGTGCTAAAGAACTAGTCATTGTGTGCCAAGAATAGCATGTATGATTTCCTTTAAAACACAATATAAAATCAAAAAGTGGTAAAGAACAGATAACAAAATAAAATTGACAAAATGTTGCTATACTTTTGAAATTGAATGTTAGCTACTTGGGAGTTTCTCCTTCTCTGTATTTAAATTTTTTTGTAATAAAATAATATAAATAAATACATAATATTGGCATTTCTTAAATTTGGGGGGGGGGATGGACCACTTTGAATAGCTAATGAAGGCAGCTGATAGTCTGTACAGAAATATGCATGCATTCAAAAATATCTGTATACATACCTTTGCAGTTCATAGCTCTCTCTTCTCCCTTAACCTCACCCTGAAGTCCATTCATGTGCCCCCTGGATTCAACAGATTTCTTGTTAATATACAGGAAATATCTCCAAATCAAGACTTCTTGGAGACTTTGGCCTGGGATTTTGGATCTTCAAGTGCAGTTTGTGGCTCTCATTCTTCAGAGCTTGGCTCTCACTCAACTCAGGTTTACTTTTTAATCTTCCCCAGCACCTTCTGCTCTATGTCACAGAGAACTTTCTCAAGGGTGACAGTGCTTTTCTCATCCACAGTCTGTTTAAAGAAAGACAGGGAGCCAAGGGCAATTCAAAGGAAAGAAGTGGTTTATGATACCATGCCACAAGGCCATGGAACTGTTTATGATAGCAGAGGCATTTTCTAAACTCCAATGAAAGGAATTTAGTAGATCTCTCAACAGCTAATTGGTATTACACATGTCTGAACTGATTATCATTACATGAAATGGGAGCTATGTTGGTAAAACCTAGGAAAGGGAGACAAACACCCTATCAGTTAATAACTTGTATTTTGGAGTGACAAAGACCAAAACTCAAAACTCAGTTTCATAAATTTCTTATCTTTGAGACCCCAAGAAAATCACTTATTTCCATGAGCTTCCATTTTTTTCTCTTCTGTAAACTGTGTAAACTCTCAGTTGTTGAAAAGATTAAAATGCAATAGTAAGGATGGTATCTCCAGTTAATAGTGGCGATTAGCTATTTCTAACCCAGGCTTTTCCAAGTTTTTATGTGATAATCAAGACTTCATCATTTATCTGAATAAAGCCCTCAAGCATATTGACAATATGGCATCAGTACAAAAACTCTTAATTTGAAAAGATACATGCACCCCAAGGTTTATAGCAGCACTGTTTATAATACTAAAGACACAGAAGCAACCTAAGTGCCCACTGACAGATGAATGGATAAAGATGTGGTATATACAGATATGATGGCATATTACTCAGCCATAAAAAGAATGAAATAATGCCATTTGCAGCAACATGGATGGACCTAGAGATGATCATACTAGGTGAAGTCAGACAGAAAGACAAAAATCATATGATATTGCTTATTTGTGGAATCTAAAAAAATAACACAAATGAACTTATTTATAAAACAAAACCAGACTCACAGACATCGAAAACAAACTTACGGTTACCAAAGGGGAATAAATTAGCAGTTTGGGATTAGCAGATACACATTACTATATATAAAACAGACAAACAAGGACCTACTATAATACACAGGGAACTATATTCAGTATCTTGTAATAACCTATAGTGGAAAAGAGTCTGAAAAAGGAAATGTGTATATAGCTATATAGATATGAATCACTTTGCTGTACACCTGAAACTAACACAACACTGTAAACCAACTATACTTCAATAACGAAGCAAAACAAAGCAAAAAAAAACCCCCAAAACCAAAAAACAATATGGCTTCAGGAATCTCCAATGTGCTTATATATCATCATCTCCTTTTCAGAATTTTCCTCAGGATCACTCCTTATTGTACTGCCTGCTTTTTCACCTTTCTAAACATAGACCCTGATTATCTTTCAGGTCCTTCCAACCATCTTACTCTATAAATGACTCCTCACAATCCCATGCAATCTTACAGTTTTAATTACTACCTATACACTGAAAATTCTCAACTGAAAGAAAAAAAATCTTCAATCCTTTATTATCTCATGAGCTTCAGACTTGGAAATGCAAATGACAGGAAATGAGCATTTCCAGACCTGAGCTTCTAGTCCCTATCTACTCCCATCCCTAAAACTATTGTCATTCTTGGACTTTCCATCTCAGGTAAGGTTATCTCTAGCCAACTTGTGAGATCCTGTAAATCCTCCCTCCCTTACCATCCAGATTCAAGCAACTCTTGCTAAATCTTCCTCTTAGTTGTTTTTTTTTTTTGTACTTTCTCCCCTCATCTGCTCCCCTGTTGCTACTTCCTCAGCTCAGAATGTCATTGTCTCTCCCCTAGACTTCTAAAATAACCTGCTGGCTAGTTTCCCAAACTCTCTTGTTTTCTCCTTGTCCAGTGCCAACATCTCTCAACACATGGCTTATCTGAAAGGGGAAGCTGGTTTTGCACGTCCCTGCTTAAAAGTCAGCTAGGCATAAATGGCCACTACAGTCAGACTGGCCTCCATCTCCCACTCCTCCCTGACTTGTATTTTACATTTGGGCAAAACTCAGGGATATTTTTGTATCTCCTTGCCTTTCATCTTAATATCCTGAGTGTGTGGAATCTTCCTTTCCACTTGTTTTTCTCATGTCACGACTCACCCTCATTCTGTGAGATTTTCTTTGCTTCCGTAACTCTTTCATTGGCTGGGACAGCTGCATAGCTCTGTACTTCATTGCACTGCAAAGCTCTGTCATAACTCTTGAATTATTTCTGCCTCTCCAGGTAGACATAAGCTCCTCAAAAGCAAGATTCTCCCATTATTTACATCCTGAATTCCTAGGATGTATCATGTAAAGTTCCTAGCAAGTGTCTGTTGTAAAACAAAAAAAAAATTAAGCATGGTCTCTGTAATCACAGAATATTTTAAAAAAATGAATAGGTCAAAACTTTAGGAAAATATGAAGTCATAAGAATTTTCTAAATCTAACATTTACTGTCATGAGCAGTATTCAGTGAGTTTTTGTAAAGTCAGTGATCTCCCCTGAAATGATTTTCTTCTTAATCAACAAGAAGGCTGAAGCCAGGGTAGAAAGAATGGCAGGAGGTAGAGTCCAAGGACCTTCTGGTCCCCAAATATTTCCCCACATATCCTGAAATCAATTACTTACTGTGCTTTGGAAGTTCCACCAATTAACGATCACTTTTAGCTTACAGAGAGACATCAGTCATTAATTCATTTGTGTCTACTGAAAACCAGAATAGTTCCCTCATATTAAAGACTTGAGATAATATTGGTAAAGGGGATAATTTTGAATGTAGGTAGTGGAGAAAATGAGGGTGAAAATTTTTTTCAAATGTTGGGGGATGGAGAAAAGGGACAGATCTGAGTGGAGTGACAGAACTGGGCCATATCTGAGTAGTCTAGTGGCAGATGGGTGTTCTCCCTGCAGTGTTGTTGCAATAGTTGTACAGGCTACCACTCCAGTGGGCATTGTTTACATACAGTCTACGCAGACTGAGCCCCTTGTGTTGCTGTCAGTGGTTCTGGCTGGGCTTGACGGGGGAAATGTACAAATTATTAAAGCAATGCAAAATCAGAATGGATGGACACAAAAATCCAGATCTTGTGCTCAAAGCTACCTTGGTGCCAGCATGCTGCTTTCTAGCAGATCAAGGTATAAGACATATAGTAGCAAAGTCAATTGTTAAAGTAACAAAATTTCTTAAATTCACTGTGTCTGCACAAGCACTATCAAAAAATAAGCTATCAGAAAATCTCTACTGAATGAACATTGGGCATGTAAGCATTTTTTTTTCCCTCTGGCAGATGGAAACAACCAAGAATAGAGGTTTCTGCATCCTGAGAGATCTTGCACTGCTATCATGTAAGATGGAGCAAATTTTGCTGGACATTTACTGAGGACACTGAGTCTTACGAAGAGAATGAACCTGTATTTCAGAGTATATCCTGACAATTATATTAAACTTCTCCAATAAAAAAAATAAAATAAACACACACTAGATATGACAAGCTATCTTATTTTTCCAGGTGGTGAAATTAGTTATAAGCATAGAAAAAGAACCACATAGTTAAGAGTAGACTCATCTTAGAAAACCCGGAATATACTGTTGCCTGTGTTTTTATGCAGAATTCCCTTGGTCTATCTACTGAAAATGTTTTGTATTTTAGTGGTCCTTTTAATAAAATGCAGTACATCTTTACAGAATAGAACAGTTTCTTAAACCAGAAGGTAGTGGATTTGTATTATGAAGTTTAGAAACCAGTGTCAGTGAAGAAGTAAGAACATGTCATGACATTATGGCCCAATGATTTTTAGTTCTTGGGCACAAAAGAATTTATAATCAGAAAGATTATAAACAATGAAGGGCTTCAAGACAGCCCTTCATATAAAGTTACTTTTATCATTCTTTTCTATAGTCTACGAGCCAAAAATATGTTTAATCAAATGTTAAGAAGACAGAAAATTTCTGCCGACTGCAGAGAAAGTCTAGATAGTTTATGGATTTTTCTGAGAAAGTTTATCAGCAACTATAGCATCTATGAAAGCAAAAAAAAAAAGATTCTATCCTCACTATTGAAATAATTTTGAAGTGAAGTATTTTCCTCCTCTAGAACTACCCCTAGTGATTTAGTCAAGGAATGTGACAATAGGAAATAACCAGATTCAGCAAAATTTAGAATTAAGAGAAACAGATTTTCTGTTATTTCCCTTAAAAACTGAAATTTACCAAAATAAACGTAGGGGGAAAAAGCTTAATAATATGAAATAAGAAAGGATGTAGCTGGAAGAAAAGAAATTAGAGGGATACTAATATTTTTAGAAATTCAACATTCCCAATGTTTTGCTCTATATGAATGTGAGATAAGGTAAATGTTTTCAGAAGGTAAAAACAGACACATTCTGGTCTTCTTTAAGGCTAAGTAGAGCTGTTTAAGAAACCATTTCAACAACACATTAGTTCCCAACCAGTCTGGTCCCTCTGAAAGAAGTTACTAGTCAAAACATTTCACCAGCAGCTAATCAAGATAGCTAATGGTCTATGTATATATGTACTTTATGACCTGGAGTAATTCATACTAATCTTATATGACTGACAGCTGTCAACTTTCACCTAGCTTGTGGGCTAAGACCAATAATAAGAAACCAAAGATTCAAAACTCACTCACAGTATTATACCAGTTTGTTTTCTCAGCTATTTTAAATACTGGCTTTTCAAGAAATCGGAAGGGAATGTTCAACTGTACAGTTTTTCAGTTCGACATTTTCAGTAATTTTAATGAATTATTTCTGTAGAGTAATTCTAGTGGAAAGAAATCTGAATATGTATTTAAAATGGACACAAAAGTTGACACACATATTCATTAGAACCAAAGTCAAGTCTGAAAAACATTACAGTTAAAGAAACCATTGGGTAAAATTAGATGACAAAGACCATTTTCTAATGGACAGACACATCCAGGACAGGAAGTTACAAAGCCCTGATTTAGTTCCTTACTCAGTTTCTCAGTACTGTGAGCTTAGTTAAGTCATTTAAACTCTTATTTTTATTGCATTGAACTAAATTTAACAAGTCCAGTAATCTTTACAATGTATAAGTTGGATGAAATAAGTTTTAAGGTTCATTCAAGCTTGGTGATTCTTCAATCAGCTGTTAAGTAAAGCCTAATTAAGTCTGTACAAATGATTTACATTTAAAGAAATCTAAACAAGTGAGACCTAATTAAACCTGTAAGCTTTGCACAGCAAAAGAAACCATAAGCAAAACAAAAAGACAACCTACAGAATGAGAGAAAATATTTGCAAAGGATGAGACTGACAAAGGCTTAATCTCCAAAATATATAAACAGCTCTTACAACTTAATAAGGAAAAAAACACACAAACAACCCAATCCAAAGATGGGCAGAAGACCTAAACAAGCAATTCTCCAATGAAGGCATACAAATGGCCAACAGACACATGAAAAAATCCTCAACATCACTAATTACCAGAGAAGTGCAAATCAAAACTACAATGAGGTATCACCTCACACCATTCAGGATGGCCATCATTCAAAAGTTCATGAACAATAAATGCCAGAGAGGGTGTGGAGAAAAGGGAACCCTCCTACACCATTGGTGGGAATGTAGTTTGGTGTAGCCATTATGGAAAACAGTATGGAAATCCCTCAAAAAACTAAAACTAGATTTACCATATGATCCAGCAATCCCACTCCTGGGAATATATCCAGAGGGAATCTTAATTCAAAAAGACACATGCACCCCAGTATTCATAGCATTATTTTCAATAGCCAAGACATGGAAACAACCTAAATGTCCACCAACAGATGACTAGATAAAGAAGAAGTTGTGGTATATTTATACAATGGAATACTACTCAGCCATAAAAATAAAATAATGCCACTTGCAGCAATAAGGATGGACCTAGAGATCATTATTCTAAGTGAAGTAAGCCAGAAAGAGAAAGAAAAATACCATATGATAGCACTTATATGTGGAACCTAAAAAAGAAAAAAAAAAAGACAAATGAACTTATTTACAAAACAGAAACAGGCTCACAGACAGAAAACAAACTTATGGTTGCCAGGGGGGAAGAGGGTAGGAAGGGATAAACTGGAAGTTCGAGATTTGCAGATACTGACTAATACATAAAAAATAGGTAAACAACAAGTTTATATGGAATAGCAGAGAGAGCTATATTCAATATCTCATAATAACTTATGGTGAAAAAATATGAAAACAAATATACGTATGTTTATGTATGACTGAACTATTGTTCTGTACACCAGAAACTGGCTGTACTTCAGGAAAAAACATGCATAGTAAAAATAAATAAATAAAATTAAAAATAAAGAAATCTGCATCCTTTATCTAAGGTCCAGGATGCAATTTGCATTTGTCAGACGACTTCTGTCTGAGGCAGATCATTTAATGTGTATGAGTAGTTTTCTGGTTTTCCAGCAGGAACATACTAGGATATGTTTAGCCTAGCATCACATAGCTCTAGAACAACATTTTCCAGGTAGAATACTATAGGCATTAATATTCATTAACTAAAGCCATTGAATTAATGACTAAGAATAGGGAAAATACATGCAGTAATAACTCATTTGAATCTTTTTTTAACATTTTTTATTGATTTATAATCATTTTACAATGTTGTGTCAATTTCCAGTGTTCAGCACAATTTTTCAGTCATTCATGGACATATACACACTCACTGTCACATTTTTTTCTCTGTGAGTTATCATAACATTTTGTGTATATTTCCCTGTGCTATACAGTGTAATCTTGTTTATCTATTCTACAATTTTGAAATCCCAGTCTATCCCTTCCCACTCT